CCCCGAAAAAGTGCGGGGGACGAATTTACGTCCCCCGCGTATTCTGCGCCCATGAAAATGAGAGTTCACATACATTTACATATACTGTGTGCAGATTTCCTTTTCACTAAACCCTAGAACATTCTGAAAGCCAGAAAAGAAATTCAGCTCTCTGTTCATCCTTCCTTCCTCACAACCCTTCCTCTGCTGACACTGCTGACATATAAGAGAAGGAATGGGTAAAGAAAATGCTTGCATAACTAAAGATGGAGAAAAATAATTATAGAAATAAAACTACACAAACATATCTTAAAATATGTCAGTGCCATTGTTTGTCTCAAGATGCACACCAGTAATGTTTTTTTTTATCTATTTATTTTTTTATTGTTTCTTTTTCCAAGGTATGTTTAAACGCTACTTATATGTCCTAATTGGGGTATGGCCTAATCCTGGCTTAATCTAAGCCCTGCCTGTGAAACCAGGCCATATCTCCTACAGGCTATTTGCATATGAAGTTCATGTATTTATGTTTTGACCATATAAAGTTTTAATCTAAAATGATCATTCTGATTATTTTAAACAATAATAATAATGCATTTTATTTATAGAGCTTTTTTCAGGGTTCCTTGAAGATGCTTAAAGTGCAGGACTGAATAATAATACGATTTTAAAAAAGTATTAATGTCTCTAGACCTATACGTTTTACTGTAGTTTTGAGGCTGCAGATACAGCCAACATAGTACAAGTCTCCCAATAGTGCCCCAAAAACAGGAAAAGAGGAGAGGAGTGCAGTTCATGCCTCTCCACCTTCCTGAGTGAGCTGAGGGGAAGTGTCTGAAACATTAAAAAGTGGTGTTCTCAGCACATAGCTGTAGTGTACAGAACAAGGATCTATATTCATGGACCTCCACTTTGCCTGGCCAACATTCCTCTTTGACCCTGCACAAAGACATCATCAGAGCTGTATTGTTTTGTGACATGGCTGAATTTGATGAGTGAAGAAGGCTGATTTGGCACAGATGAAGTGCAGATTGCTGATAGGTCATTCACTTTGAAAGTAGGAATCTAGGCTTAAGTAAATACACTTCTCTATATGTGTATGAGTGCACCTTCAAATAATTTATTTGAAGGAATTCAAATATAAGTAATACTTCTAACCACACACATCCATATATAGCATTGTGCATTAAGACTGACATTTATACATATCCACTAAACAAACAGACGCATTCCCAAAATTCTGCAACCAGTAAACACTTTTGGACTTCCGATGTCAATAGTATTTGTTTGAGATTTCAACATGCCTGTGAAATCAATGATCTCATGGTCAGAAAAAAAGGGTTTAGTTTTACACTAAACTGAACTAAAGTGAAACTAAATTGAGGAAACGTAGAACATTTTTTAATTTGTTTAAAGATTTTTTTTTGTCTTATTTAAACATATTTACCCTTTAAAGACTCCATCAAACAGAACAAATAGAATGCAATCCCAGGATTGGATACCATTTTATTTTGTGGGTAGCATTTTATTTAGAAATGTATCTGCACATGTTCCTCATCTATATAAAACTACTATATTAAATACTCTTACTGTAGTGTAGAATATGAATGATTTGTACTTAATACAGAGAATGCTAAAAGCATTTTAAAACAAGAAAAATGTAATAAGAAAATATAGATTCTGTGATATGTACAAAAAATCAGGTAAAAGCAGGCAAAAACAGCTTGAAATATGTTAGTCAGTTAGTTTAACAGACAGTTATGGTAAAAGCCATGACATCACATGATTTAGGATATCTGGGAAAGCACAGAGATTTACACAAACCTTTGGAGACACACACATTTCCAAACCTCCTGTCAACTCTAAAAAGCTTACCGATAATTATTAACATCGATGCTTAAATACAAGCGTACAAATTCCCACACAGAAAGGACCGTCCAAAGCTTCACCATGAAGGTTTCGCTGCTTTCTGTGTAACGATATGCATTCTTTATCAGGTAAATGGAAAGAGCATAACGGACAAATACACAAAAATTGGAGTGCATGCTATACTTTTAGATTTGGAAAATGTGGGAAAATAGTACCTTTATGTTTATTTTTTATGTTAAACCAAAGTCATGCAAAAAAGGGTTTAGTTTTACACTAAACTGAACTAAAGTGAAACTAAATTGAGGAAACGTAGAACATTTTTTAATTTGTTTAAAGATTTTTTTTTTGTCTTATTTAAACATATTTACCCTTTAAAGACTCCATCAAACAGAACAAATAGAATGCAATCCCAGGATTGGATACCATTTTATTTTGTGGGTAGCATTTTATTTAGAAATGTATCTGCACATGTTCCTCATCTATATAAAACTACTATATTAAATACTCTTACTGTAGTGTAGAATATGAATGATTTGTACTTAATACAGAGAATGCTAAAAGCATTTTAAAACAAGAAAAATGTAATAAGAAAATATAGATTCTGTGATATGTACAAAAAATCAGGTAAAAGCAGGCAAAAACAGCTTGAAATATGTTAGTCAGTTAGTTTAACAGACAGTTATGGTAAAAGCCATGACATCACATGATTTAGGATATCTGGGAAAGCACAGAGATTTACACAAACCTTTGGAGACACGCACATTTCCAAACCTCCTGTCAACTCTAAAAAGCTTACCGATAATTATTAACATCGATGCTTAAATACAAGCGTACAAATTCCCACACAGAAAGGACCGTCCAAAGCTTCACCATGAAGGGTTTCGCTGCTTTCTGTGTAACGATATGCATTCTTTATCAGGTTAATGGAAAGAGCATAACAGACAAATACACAAAAATTGGAGTGCATGCTATACTTTTAGATTTGGAAAATGTGGGAAAATAGTACCTTTATGTTTATTTTTTATGTTAAACCAAAGTCATGCACAAGAATGGAGTTGGAATTGTAAGTGATTATTAAGCTGATCATTATTTATCTTTCTTAAAGGCAAGGGTGAAGATCCTCAAACTAAAAAGTAAGTTTAAAATCAAATTATTTTTCCCCCCCTATTTTTTTTATATAAAATATGGAAACAAAGATAGAGGCTACATGATTCAATGACAAGGCATTAATGAGAAGCATAGCACATTTTTTTCCTCCTGAAAGTCTCATTAAAAGATGTACTTGATTTTATTTGATGGTTCAACTTTATCTGATCGCAGAGGTCACAGAATCCACAGTCAAGAAATGTTTAGAGGTTGGACTTACAGGCAACCTCCAACTTTCTGAAGCAGCAAAAGCAGAAGAACAAGTTAAACCAAAAAATGACTGTGATACTCTAACAGACAAACCAACAGGTGTGTATGTGTATACGTTTGTTTTAATAGTAAGCTATTAAAAGGAGAGTTGACTCAAAAAATGAACACTTTTTTTCAATAAAATTAAGGTTAATGGGGTCCAATGTTATTTTGGCCCCCACTGACTTTCATTGTATGAATAAAAACAGTTACTGCTACTTTACTATTTGTGTTAAAGAAAGATTGTACTTGAGGGTGAGTAAATGAAGACAGAATTAAAATTTTTGGTCGAATTCTATCCCTTTACATTCGTCAGACACACATGCCTTCTGATAAAAAGATAAATTGCTTACAACCTTGTTCACCAGATGACAGGGACAGGAAGGTGGTTATTGATAAAGTGCTGATCGCAATGAGAGGGGGCAGTCCGGCTTCAGCAGTAGCCATGAAGTCTCAGCTCACTAAAAATGGCATTTTAGAATATAATCAGTATGTGGAATGGGCAAAGACCGTCTCTGCTCTGCCAGCTCTCATTCACAGTGATGTGAGACTCACCTCACCTTCACTTTATTTGCCAGTGCATGCTTGGTAACTGCTGTAATGGAACTCAATTTGTTTTTATTATTGTGTTGACAGCCTGAACTCATCTACAACGCGATCCCTTTGGACTTTAATGATGCTCAGCCGAGGCGGAACAATCTCAAAATAGCCCTGGGTGACCAAGTGGCTGAGTACAGCGTGTGTAAGTGCCAGCCGTGCCAGAACGGTGGTACTGTGAAGACGGGGAGTGTAACGCATGTGCTCACCAGGGACTGAGGGCGTCGCGTGTCAGATCATTGAGATCGAACTGGTGAAAGGTGTGTTTCTCTATGTGAACCGGCCTGTAAAACTTACATAGCATTCATTTCTGTTGGTTTGAGTTGAACGTTCTCTCTTGAGTTGAACGTTCTAAAGAAAGGTTTAGAGAAAAACATGTTTGAAAACACTGCTATCTTGTGGTCAATAGGTAGTGCAACCCAAAATAGTTGCATTACAGAAACGGCAAGCTTTTCTCAAATTACCTGATTTTTTTTTTTGGCCACCACGGCCGTACCATACAGTGATTGTTTCACAAATAAATTTCATGGCACTTTAAATATACCATGGTAATTAATTTACTAAATATCATTACCTATTTAGGTTTTGTTAAACTAAACCATATGTGTTTCCTCCTCTACCACACCATGCTCATAACAATTAGGTGATCTGAGCAAAATCTAAGAAAAACTGTTGGTAATTATCCTGTCTGTCAGTAAAGCCACAAGATTTACTCACATAAAGAGGAACTTACCAGAGGGTAAATGTCTGTGAATGAGACTTTTGCATCTTTGATCACTAGTTTGTGAATTGATTAGCTTACCAACCAGACATTAAATATGACTATAAAATCCACTTACACAATACACATTTTGAATGAATTACCGTCCTCATATTATTATATAGGCCTATAATAATATAATACATTATGTTATATGAATGTTTATTTTATAGAATAGCCTTTTGATGTGAATTAGTGTTTGGGGGCACACAAAGAAAAAAATAATATATGAGGAATATATATGTGATGTTGAAGTAGATGGCTCACTTTTCACTCTTCTTGGGCCTCTAGAGGTCAGGTTAATAGAGTAGCACTCTTAACTCCCTATTGAGCCTCTGAGAAGCTCCTTTCAGCTTCAATAACCTTCAAGAGTCAACTTGTGGTGGCAATGGCTTTGGACTGACACCCTGTTTAAAAACAACACTCCAAACCAAGGGGGAAAAAACAAAACATGATATTCAGTTCGTTTATTTGTATAGCTCTTCAAAATAGCTTCAAAGCAGCTTTACAAAAAAATGCATGTTTCTGCATTACAACTAAGAGGAATTTGTTATCAGAGGTGACTGTCAAAGTAATGTCCATATGGCAAATGTGTGTGTGTGTGTGTGTGTGTGTGTTCTGCGTCCTCTTCAGGAGAGAGCGGTTCTCAGCGCCGCCGAACTGGTGCACTTCTTCAGTGAAATAAAGGTTTGTATACGTTTTATGCCATCTATAAAGTCTTTACTGTGCTGTAAATGATATTATTTTACACAACAAACCATACAGGGACGAGATGTCAGTCAGCTAAATGCATCAGCAGTGGTCGTTTCGCATGACGGAAACGCCTTTTGCCTTGAAACTGATTTTTATTCGTTATAATACTGTATTTAATGTGTTTTGACGTTAAAATATGTTCTCTAATCTCAGTACTGTTTGCTTATGGGCAGGTTATGAAGTCAGTCACGGCATCTTTCAGTTACAAGTGAAACGCGAGACGCGGTCTGAGGTTCGCAGTTCAACACCTGTTGTGCCAAAATCAGTGACCTATCGAAAACTATGACCAGGGGTCGCTGTTCAGCAAATGTTCTCGCAGGAGCGCGCACGCGTTAGATCAGACGCTGAAGCTGAATGATCAGCGTCAGAGGAGACTAGCGGTACTGTAAAACATGTTTCATGTCTTAAGACCAAAGAAAACAAGCTAGATATTGTCACCAGCATCTAAATTCTTATATAGAAAAGAAATGAAAAATTAATGCTGTTGTTGTCTGCTAATGTATTAGCCTACTACTATCGTCTGATCTAACGTGTGCGCGCTCCCGCGAGAACATTTGCTGAACAGCGACCCCTGGTCACAGTTTTCGCTAGTTCACCGATTTCGGCACAACAGGGGCATTTCTCTCGTTTAAAGTGACATGTCTGCTGAAGCAGGCAAGCAAGCTAAGGACGAGAACTGATTTATCCACAAAACTATTTGTTTTAGTATATTTTTTAGACTCGTGTTTGAGTCTAATATGTCTGTAAACTAACAAACAAAGTGGTCACGGTTTTTTTTTTTATGAATAACTTGCGCCTTTTCTAAAAAAAAAAAGCTACAACTTCTCACCTCATCAATTGTCTAAAGCGGGAATCATTTAATAATGGCGCCTGAGCAAATTCTGGAAACGAGAAACACTAAGAAAACATGCATACACTCAAAGGTAAACAAATATTTCATACGAGGGAAGCTTACCTTCGATAAAATAACGATTTTGCCTGGTTGAGACAAGGGCTCTGAAATCCTCAGGCTGTGTGGAATGTGACGCGTCACCGCATAACGGGCCGACGGGAAACAAACATCAGTGGGACCGAATTCCACAACATTGCAGACAAACTATGCATTTTGGGCTGTAGTGTTGTTGGCATGTGTCGTAACATTTTTGTTCATGTAGACAAGCATAGAAACAATAAACCAACCCATTTGTTTGAGTAGGAAAATAGGTGAACGTGTATAAAATTATTTTCATGCATTTATATAGTCGAGTGTTTGTCCATCTGTGTTTCATGCTCCTCGTACTTATAAAGAACCTCGTAATTTACATGGAATGATCTTCAAACCAGACCTTAAATATTAAACTGAAATTTAGGATGAATAAAATTTTAATGCACCCCATCTAGCTACTTTTATTTTAACGTTTCTCCTCAATCCTTGTTCCTCAATCCCATCTCATGTCATAAAAGTTCCCATGAATGTTTGAAAACCTTCCTGACTATATCATCCCTTAAAGAAAGAAAACATATCAAACTGCACACAAAAAAACAGAGGACAATGTCACACATAACTATATTTTATTCACAACTTTACATTCTGAACATCACCTCTTTGAAGTTGTACAAGATATCGCTGGCCCATAGGTAAAATATTTCTCTCCATAGCGGTTTCCTGCAGGAGAAAAGAACATCTTAAAAAGATGTTTCACGTCATTTTAATTTTAAAGTTCAACATTTGAAACTGGAAATCTTGAGGCTTCACAATAAACTTGAGATATGGCCTTAACACAAAAAGCTGAGTATAAATTAAATTAAAAAATACACTTAAACTAAATGAGCATCACTCTTATTTTGTCTAGAATTCCCAGTCATGTGTGGGGTAACTGGAGTTGATGTAAAATTAATAATAATAATAACAACAACAACAACAACAATATTTATCAGAATAAAATCTGGTCAAAGTTGAGTTTATTCTGCCCACTGAAGAGCCTGTCTGGCCAACAGGTGAAACCAGTTTCACACTAGCAGATTTTCAGTCGTCTGCTTCATTTACATATGCAATAAAGATTCACAAGTCAAGCAGCGTTTCACTGTAGGTGGGTGTTAAAAGACCCAGCAACTCCTTACTGAGCTAATGGCCCTGCCGACTTTCCAACAATGTTTGGCATGGTGATAATGTAATTAAGCACCATTTGCCTATTTACGAGTAGTGAAATAAGAAAGTTGAGGCAGAGCACTTTCTTTACTGAAAGTATTTATAAATGTAATTTATTTCTGTGATGATGGCAAAGCTGGGTTTTCAGCATCATTACTCCAGTCTTCAGTGTCACATGATCCTTCAGAAATCATTCTAATATGATTTGGTGCTCGAAAAATATTTCTTATTATTATAAATCTTGAAAACAGTTGTGCTGCTTAATTTTTTTTTGTAGAAACTGATACATTTATATAAACGTCTTTACTGTCACTTTTGATAAAATTAATGTGAATCTAAATAAAAACATTAATTTCTTTCAAAAATAAATACAAATTTTACTGACCCCAAACCTTTCAAGGGTTAATCTTTTTTTGGTATCACCCCTCAACAGAACAACTCTTCTCGCTGTAGACTGTAGTATGATGTAGTAGCCTAGGCCTAGTTATGCTTTAAATATGCATGCGCAAACAATTTTTTTGTAGAAAATACAATTTTCAAGCAATATTTTCAGTTATATATATATATATATATATATATATATATATATATATTAGGGCTGGACGATATGGCCAAAATTGATATCACGATATATTTCTTAATTTCGGTCGATACGATATAATTCCGATATCTCTGCATGCAAACATTTGAAAATATCACCACTATCTGTTCCTTTGTGCCCCAGGTTGCCTGCCTTCATGACACCATCAGATTAAAGTCTCTCTCATCTGGCAAAGCCTGTCAAATATTCCTATGGAATCTAACAGCTGAGGGCTGGAAATAAGGTAAGATCATAGTGTGGATGTCAGGCGGGTAATTTCCATGAAAATAATATTTCCAAAGGACAATGTGCTTTTTAAATGCTTGGGTGCAATTTATGGGCGAATCACACAAAGCCTGTCAATAATTTGTCCTATGGTCATATTTCACCACCAAATAGAAAGAAATAAGAAATGATAATTCATATGGTGAGTAAAACCTATTTTTAGGACCATTACGACTTTTTTGGCTTGTGAAATTATTTTCATGACAATTAAGCACAACTCACTTCTCATTATACCAGTGTGTGTGTGTGTGTGTGTGTGTGTGTGTGTGTATGCATATACTTTACATTGTAAGTATTTGTACATTTAAATGATAAATAATACTTGATGTACCTTAAATTGATTAAATTACAATTATTAAATAAATAATTAATAATAATTTAAAAATAAAAAGTTGAAAAATTAGCATGATTCTTTGTCATGAAAAAAAAAATGTTTTATTTTAGTTTTATTTTAGGGGGTGACATGTGAGTTGGACCTTTTTTGTGATATTTGAGCATGAATATCCAAAAAGAACTTGAAGGGTCTGTATATGTGTTTATATGATTTAGCATATTTTATTTTGTGCTACAAATAAACGACTTTTGATTACAGTGTTTATACAATGATTATTGATTTTGAATAATCATGTCTATTTAGTATGTTTAGTTGCTTTGGCGTGAAACACTGGGCCAAAAACAAGTCAAAGTTGTCCAGCAACAAATTAGGTGCCATACTCTGTCTAGCTCCAAAACGTATTTGTATGCCTGAAGCAATCGAGACTGCGCTGCAATTATTTAAAGAGCCTGACAGTATGATATGACTTTTAATCAAGCTAGTCTCATGTGATTCACCTGTGGCTGTCACACACTCATTCAGTGCATCTAAAAAGCGTGTTTCTGAAGCCGTAAAGGCTAACGGGGAGCAGA